TAATAGGGATGATACACGAGCACACAACCTATCTGATTGTAAGTGGATGCATCTTTTCTTTCATTCTATCTCCATAGACATCTACGATTAAAAATCAAAATGCGGATGCGTTGACTAAGATGGAATGTGAAAAGAGTCTCCGGATCACTCACCTAGTAGCATTAAGTTGTTATTTTGCGCTTGTATTATATGAAAGCATAATACCACGCTCTTGCCTCTGTCGAGCCAACCTATGCGTGCTACAACTATAGTACTCGTATAACTGCATCGCTGTAACACGCTATACTAGAAATACATCTCCGTCACCCACATCTCAGAGAAATATTACGATAGTTTAGAATTACGCCTCATTTTTTTTTTGAATTTACAAGCCAGTTACAAAATGGTTTTTTAAGGATTTTATAAACTTGGCAGTATGGTTTCATTTTGTATAATCGAAAAAGTAGTGCCATATTGTAAACTCGACAAAAGGAATCCCACTATCACAACTACACTAGCGCTCCCTTCCTTTATTTTTATTTGGGTAAGATTGATAACTAGTACAGTCGACAACAAAGGTAAGTGACTGAAATAAAATGAAATAAAATATGAAATGCCTTGTGATGGTGGTGTTAGAGAGCCTAACACTACATTTCGTCCTATGGGATGAAATGCCAAAAAGGTCTTATCTACCCCAGTCATTAGATACCCAGACCAGCGACGTGCAGCAGCATCGAAGGTGCTCATGTCTATTACTGCGTTCTTCAATCAGCCAGCCAAGTATGATGATTAAGACAAAACATCTCCGTTCCCAAGTTCAACACTTGACCTTGACGAATTGGCGAAGAACAGGATATATTTTTTTTCGAACTAACAAACTTAATTTTTATTTGGCAAATGTTATTTTCAAAAGACTTCACAAAGGAGAAGATTCTCAACTCTCTCTCTCTCTCTCTCTCTCTCTCTCTCTATCTCTCTCTCTCTCTCTCTCTCTCTCAACTTTTTTTAGGTGAACCGATTTTGATGTTTCTTTGAAGCTTTGAACTTGAAAGCTGGCGCTTTTCATGTCAACCTTAATAATGCGTATTCAATTGTCAATCACTTCTAATATGTTAACGATGGTCTAATTTTATTGAAATCAGTTTTACAACATTTTAAATTTTTCCACTTGATATAAACCTGCTATGGTATCATAATGAGGTTCCTCCGACTGAAGAAGAAAAAAGGCCAAAGAGACGCCGAAGGAAACCTCTTTTTTGGTTATTATTAATTTACATAGAATAGTGTACTGAATAGATAAGAGTTAGAATATCGTAGTGTATTGTCATTTCTGAAGGCAAATGGAGGCGAGGTTTTTGACAATAATGTTACTCTCCGGCCAATGCAGAGGTAAAAAGTCGCATACAATTTGCAGATTTTTTTTTCACTTTTTTATAGTTAAGTTTTCTATAGTTTGAATACTGATTCCGATAACGGCTTTACAGCGTTGCACTTAAAGGGGCAACGCAGGGTTATGTTACATGCTGTACACATAAGGTAAACTATTAGAGCGTTAGTTGCTCCGGAGGCTGAACACTTTGCGTGGTAGGAGATTTCCTTTTCCACCGATCGCCAAATCAGGAATTAAGGCTTTACTTTTTAGCTATTAAGATATCACATCTGAATCCACAGGGGTGATGCACATAGTGACAAAGCTTTTGTACTTTGAATCTTATTCTGGGATAGATGTAAATGTTTATGTACCACACCATACACTTATTTTATTTATACTAGGTGGAGCCATCTGACCGACTAAGATCACACTCTCACAGAATACCAACATAAAACAGTAGCTTTACGGTTGCTCTTCTGTTTCATATGGTGAGTGCAGAGAACCGGAGACTCATTTTACTTAAAACGAGGTATTCCATCTGAGAGTCAGTTCACAACGAGACGCGACGCGACGTGACGATGCTTGAAGAGGCCAGTCGCGTCGCGTCACGTCTCGGTATTTACTGACCCTTAATCTTCGGGGGTGACATCGCATCTGCATTTTGATTCTTAGTTGAGGATAAATGTCGATGTCTAGCATCCACTTATCATAAGGTGGTTTGTGTGCTCGTTTGTTACCCTTATTCTATAAAAAAAAACTTACCATCAGGTGGACAGTGTGTTGATTTGTCACCCACACTTTTATAAAATATAAAATGACGAAGCCTAGTGCCGCAATCTTATACTTTTAAAACTGGTATTACGTCAATGTGCTTAGTTAATCGAGCCGGTTTATTAACGTGGCTAAGAAATTTTATAAGCTTACATAGTAGTTAGTTGAAAAAATTCGAATACATGTGAAATCTAACAACACGCATTGCGGTATCTGGCGGATATTTCCTTACTTTAAAACCTTTTTATTTTTATACGGTGTAGTAGCGGTGTAAGAATATTCAGTACCTAATATCATCCCGTGGGTGTCGTTAGATGCGACAGAGGGAAACAAATCGGGAGATGGACGGCAACGTCTTCCAGCCGCCAGCCTATCATATGAGGCAATCTAAGGGGGAGGTCTATGTTCAGCAGTGGACTTTAAAATCCGTTAACGTTAACAATAACGGTAACAGTAAATCCTTTCAGGATTGAGAGAAGGCCTGTACCCAGCAATGAGATGTATATATATATTCAATTATGTATATATAACTTCAATTTCAGCTTTATTAGGAATTTTTAATAGGATAGGGTGATAAACGAGCACACAGACCATTTCCAATAGATACCGTGCCAAAAGCATGGCTGTTTCCAATCTATATAATAGACATAGACTTAAGATGTTGTCGATATCTTCCCAGTTCCGTGCTTGCACGTGCACGCACGTCTGTTATATTAGAGTCAAGCAAGGGGGCGCCATAATTAGATCTCGCTACTTCCTAAAACTTGCCTCGAGCCGGCATTGATTGCTTCATAAGGAGGATAGCTGCCACCCTAGACTCGCGGGTGGGGATCCGCAGTTTTATTGAGTTGTTTCCCTCCAACACCTCTCACGAGCCCACGGAATGATAAAGGCTGGTGGATTCCCTTATGCCGCCACTACACGGCATTCTCATAATTACTCTACCTTTGAAATTATCGACGGTCAAAAATGTACAACTGATGTCGAGCATCACAGGCTAAACTGATTTATTTTAACTAACTTTCCTGAGGACGTCCTCAAAAATCTTGTTTTTTTTCATAGGATTGGGTGACAAACTAGCACACAGTCCTGATGGTAAGTGGTTGCTGCGGGCCATATACATCTACATCTATCCTCGATTTCAAATCAAAATGCAGATGCGTTATCACCCGTTAGGACTAAGATGAAATGCCTATTTTCCAGTAAAATGGGTTTCCGGTTCTCTACACTTACCATACGAAACACAACAGCATTAAGCTAATATTTCACCCTGGTATTCTGTGAAAGCGTGGTCCTTCCCCGGTCGAGCCGACCCATTCGTGCTACAACTATACTATTAAATTAACTGCAGCATAGCTCTACCACGTAAAATTAATTATATATATTAGTTCTACTGCCTTAAAAAAGTACGTTTATTATAATTTAATTATAACATTGGAATGCCAAGCTTACGAAGTGACTTTGGATTTCCTCATACGGAAAGCAGTTAAAGACCTCAGAATTCCGTCGGACATTACGATCTACACACACTAGATTTTTTTTAGCATACAAGGTTTATTAGTCCGTGGATACCTGCAAAAATTTTGAAACATATTAGACTACAAAACTGTAGCCCATGGGTGACGTAAGAGCCAACATAGGGAAATTAATCAGGAGATCGGAAGCAGTATCATTCTAATAACAACTAGAAAATAAATGCCAACCTCTGCCAAGCGTGCCAACTATAGAAACTATTATGAAACAGTTCAAGGGATATTAATGGTATAGTTATAGCACGAATGGGTCGGCTCGACCGGGGAAGGACCACGCTCTCCCAGAATACCAGCGTAAAACAGTAGCTTAATGCTGCTGTAATCGTATGTTGAGTGTAGATGCGTAGCTTAATGCTGCAGTGTCATCATGCGAAACACAGCAGCATTAAGCTGCTATTTTACGCTGGTACTCTGTGAGAGCGTGGTCTTTCCGGTCGAGCAGACCCATTCATGCTACAACCATAATAGCTGCAGCGTGGCTCTACCACGTATAAAAATATAATATGTATAAGACTCAGTCATTTTCAGGCGAACGATTATCCACATATCTGTCACGGCACGGTATGGTTACGTTCCATCACCATCACCACGATCATCATCTTGTGTCATACTTGTGAACAAGTGCTACTTGTGAGGATTAGTCTGTTGGCTGTGCTATATACTGATAAGCTCCAAATGTTTAACATTCTTTTTTTTTTGAGTATATCGTGGAGCATGCTTCAAATACTGTCGGGTCAGTTGTTATTTTACGTTTTGTATATATAGTAATACTACGCTATTTTAATACTAAATTAAAAAAGACAAACAACAGGAAATCTACGGAGTTTCTTTCGCCGTTTTCCTTTCAGTCAGAGAAATTTCATTTTATAATGGTGTAATGTAGATAGGGATAGAGACATTAAAAACGAAGTTTTATTTTTTCTGTGGGAGAAATAAATATATTTCATTTCATCATCATCACTGCCCTTTACATGTCAACTCTGAACCTAGACCCCCGTCAAGAAATGCCATAAAACACTTTCCTGAGCCATACATATAGCTATACACAAATTTAATTTGTAATTTTATCAATACATTAATATATTTCGACGTTAGGTCATTTTAATTTATTTTAATTTAGATGTAGCCAAACCGGTGCATGTATGCAGTCCTTAATTATGACACAGTAGGATAGCAACATGAAATACACGTAAAAAGTTAGTGATTCTTGTATCTATATAAACGCAGTCTTCAGAGTCTGGACAGCAGAGTGACACGACATATCGATTCGTTCGGGCGATAGTAAACATAAAATCGATTTATAAAGTAATGTGATTTGGCTACAACGGATATTTTTGTTTTCCAAAATGGCTACGATCCCAGTTTATATGGTGAGGTTTTATAAATACATTTTTTAACCTTTTTACCCTTTTCGAAACTTAATTTTTATTTTTTATTTGACTTTTTAAAATAATTTTAAGAGTTAATATTAAATCAAATTTAATATTTCAGATATTATACTTGTAAATTCTTCTCTTCTCAGGCATAGTAAAAAAACATTAATTTTGTTGCAATTGTAAATTAAAAAAGACAGCCTAAAAATTTCATAGTTTTTTTTTTAATAGAGTTACAATTCCAGTCAAATTATTACGAAACACAGAATACAAAGGTTTCAAACACTATGTTTAGAAGCACTATATAAGTCAAAGGTGTAGAAAGAGTCGACAGTTTTTTAGAATATGAAAATTATAAACAATTCCACCTGATATTAATTTGTAATAATTTTGAAAAGTTGTAAACAGTTTAAATCTAAAATAGCTTGTTTAGCAGCAGCTTGATTATATAACTGTGTGTAGAACTATTTCACAATTCAAATATCTTCTTTTCCAGCCAGAAACGTTGGCTAATCCAAAGTAAGACATTGCTGAATTAATCAATCTGTCCAAATTCTCTTTTATTTGAGATACCATGCTATCTCTATTTTAGCTTTTTTATCCATTAATAAATACTCCAAATAATTATTAAGGCGTTAAGTCCGTCCTTTATTAATATCCCTTATTATATGGAGTGTACAATAAAGATTAAATAAATAAATAAATATGATAGTATTTTTACCATTTGACCAGCATATAATAACAACTCAATGCTGCTGTGTTTACAGATTTTTTAATGGAAACGAGGAATTCCATCTCAGTCCTCAAGGGTGGCAACGCATCTGCAGTTTGGTTCTTAATTCAGGATAAATGTAGATTTATATGGGCCACAGCATTCACTTACCATCTAACAGGTGGAATGTGTGCTCGTTTGTCAAACTTATTCTATAAAAAATTAAAATTAATTAACCCATTTCTTTCCGTGATTGCCGTATCTTGTATTGGCGTATTGTATGGTCGCTTGTATTGGCGAAATTCCAGAAAGACCTAATAATGACTTTCAATAGAAGTCGTACTGATGGTCAGACCAGAGACGGGTAGTAGCGTAGAACATGCGAGCGGCTGGTACTACGATTGCCAAGCCCATGCCCAATAGTAGACTTTTAAGGGCTGATGATGATCAGGAAGAAGAATAATATATCTTTCGTATTGAAACGAGTAATTCAAAAAAAATATTATCAACAGTTTCTCTTACGATAGCTTTTTAAGTACGTCGTCAGAAACCAAATCTTTTTGATATTCATTCAAAATCATTAAAGTACATTTGTAATAATCGGAAAGTTTTTATGATTAGCGGTCGGTTAGAGAATAAGCGCTTTTTAAATAACGTGTGCAAGCAAAGTGACTTCGATTGCTTATGGCAGTAATGAAATTGCTGATAATATAAAGAAAAACAGACATAAAATATCTTGTATTGGCAGTATAAGAATATCCACTACCCCACGTCTCTTAGTTGACGTAAGAGATGACCGGCGGAAACAAACCAGAATCTTCCTAATCAAAAAACAAAACTGCTAGCGAGTCCGCCTGCCAAGCGTGGCAACTATGGCAAACAATCCCCTCGATTGACTTTGATAGTAATGAATCTTTAATGAATGAAAATTAATAAGTTAGTAGCGAAATTTAAACTTTTACTATTTAACATTGAGGTTTTTAGTTATAGCGCTATTTTTAGTTATATAAGAATTGTAATAATTTGACGGTGTCTGCCTTTCTAGCCGATTTAGAGTGAAAAGGCTTTTGTTACGCTACGGTGCGATTAACCAAGGCTCCATCATCACTTTCACAAACAAAATCTCATTAAAAAAAATAGTATTTAAAGCCATTAGTATTTAAATATCTGTGTAGCATTTTTGAATATAATATTGCACTATTTATATCCTAAGGTACATGAGAGTAATTTGGTCACCTTAAGCTTCGCCGCCATATAAAACCAAAACTATGAGAAGGACAGAGACAATAACACAAAATCGTATAATATAACTAATATTAGAAAAAAGAATAGCAAACAAGCTTTGACAATAATCAGGAATACTTCGAAAAATTTAGTAAAATCGCCTAGAATATTTAATCTAATGTCAAAATGGCGTCGATAAAGCATCGCCCTATTGACCCTTTATTATTTGATTGACCGCTGAAGAGCTATCGCGTCACAAATTTATCTATGCAAACAAGGCTGTACTTTTTGAGTTGTTAGAAATGACCATATTAACTGAATGACCATATAACCCTCACGTACTATATGAATAATTCAAATTTGCTAATACGGGACCGGTTGGTTGGTATGTTTAATAATCTAGAACACTTCGCGACGGGCTAAGTCCATATCTGAGGACCGCCTTGAATCTTGATTGAGTCTATTTCGCAAGGGCCCCTTTTACAGTTTACTTATTTTAGGAATGATTTAATTCGTCGTCGAACATAAATAACTGAAATCCTTTTTCTTCATTTGAGTTGCTTTCGTACCGTATGCAGTGATAAACTTAGAACAAAATATAAAAATACTTACTAATACGACTTTTGACTTCAAAATTATTCAAAAATAACAAAGCAATTTGGTGCTAATTTTTCATTTTATTGTTGTTGTCTAAATTCTATGCATTAACTATTATGAAAAACATATCCGTACGTTACAAGGGTTTAGAATTATATTATGCTTTTGAAACTTTACGCATATACGAGTAATGTAAAGATCGTAGAATGTGTTGATAGTTTTCAAAAATCTGAAAGATAAGATTTTTCAATTGATTGTTCAATTTTTAAGATTAATTTTAATAATTAAGAAATTAAAAGTTTATTAATAAAATGGAAGCCATGTAAAGATGTCAAATTAAGTGACAATCCGCACATGAAAACATTACAATTTCAAGCAAAGAAGGATACAGGTGCGAGCCACTTTTGGGGATTTAAGGTGAAATACTATCTAGTCTCTTCGTACCCTTTAAACCTAACAGTAGATACACCACTACTATTTGATGGGAATAATATTAGTTTGGCTATCAATAAGTTTGTTGATATGTTTTTGACAAACGGTTAGATAATAAAAATAAAACTGCATTTATGGTTAGTTAAATTGTACATGTGCTTTATCTAGTTTTGAACCTCGAGGCAAAAGGGGGGGGGGGTTATAAGTTTGACCACTATGTGTGTCTGTCGGTCTTAAACTAGTGTACCGATTTTGGTGCAGTTTTTTTTTATTTAAAATCAAATATTCAAGCTGTGGTTCCTAGACATGTTTTAGAAAAATCGATTTAACCGTTTGAAGATAATCAGCTATTTTGTTTCGGGGGTTTTTAAATTTAAGTTATAAAGTGTATATAATGATTTTTTAAATTTACGCGAACACTACACATTGAATCAAACTATATATATACGGATTTTATCGCGTGTAATTGACTTATTTTACTTATTTTTAAATCCCGACGTTTCGGGTGCTTTACAGTCAATGACTTATATATTACTAGCGTTAATCATTCTTTACAGCACCTACGGTCACGAGGGGGAACTGACATGTTTGATATTCCAATATCATAGTTAGCCCGGCTACCTTCAGTTTTTGAATATTAATTTTTACTTCGATCTACGCAGAACGAGCTTACATTATCTTGAAGTCTTGCAGAGCACCGACGCTCCGGGAGGTTTGCAGTCTGTGAACATGTTCAAAATCGTCCCCACCATTACATTAGATTTGATAAACCACAAATCCTCTCAATAGAACACCGATTCCTACCAAGGATGATACGCGAGGCTATTAAAATTAAAAAAAAACATACTTATTTCAATAGATAAGATGGATGGATAAGCTGCTATCTTCTTGAGATCCTATAATTAACAAAATTAAATCCAAACCCAAGCATACGTCGTAAGCTCGTTCCGCGTAAATTGGACCAAAAACTAATATTCAAAAACTGGAGGTAGGCGAGCTAACTATAAAATTGGGACGTCAAATATCTCAATCCCCCTCGGTGCTGTAAAGCACCCGAAACGTCGGGAATTAAAAATAAAATAAAATACTTTGATCAAACGCGATAAAATCCGGATATATAGTTTTATTCCATATAAAGTATATACTTTGACTTTACCATTATAGTTCTTAACCACAAGCTGTTATGTATTGTAGTACTGGTAATATTGTCATTAAAAAAGAAAAAGATTATTTTCTACACTTATCAAGCAAAACTCGCGTTTGAATATGAAGCAGTTTATAATATTTCTTACATGTTTAATAGTTTGTTCTTCAATTAATTAGTTAAATATTTTCTTTTTACAATTTATTACCTATATATGATGAATATTGATAGAACAGCAGTGCTTCCAACAATCGATATTATTTATTTGAAAGAAAGGCTCTTATTTTATTTTCCAATTCAGGGTATCAAAGTAAAATAAAAAATTGATAATATAAATTTTTCTACTCGATGGAGTAACGTCCGGACTGGGAGTAAAGTTTCGTGATTGTGCTTTAATGGTAATCGGTAGACTTGTTAGTGGCGGCTATGATAACGATGATCTTGTAAACGAGACAACATTAAAGAACACTATCGATAAATATGTTCATACAAAAAAAAGTTAAGACAAACATAAAATTAATTTTATCTTTTTTTTCAGTTGCTGCTGGTATTCAGCAGTCTTACCATAGCAAAAGGGATCGACGACAAATCGAAAGTATCAGAACTACTTCAGAAGGGAATCAAAGAGGAATCATCAGTTAAAGGAGTGAAGAGAGGCATTTTTTCTACTGGTGACTTCGGTTCTCCATTAAGCCTCGGTTTAGGCGGAGGAATTGGTTACAGTAGTGGAATTAGCTATGGCGGTGGAATTAGTTCAATATCAGCTGGACCCGCTGTATCTATTTCATCTGCACCAGCTGTATCCATTTCATCTGCACCTGCTGTATCTATTTCATCTGCACCCGCTGTATCTGTTTCATCTGGACCAGCTTTGGGTATTACTTCTGGAATATCTGCCGGACCCGCAATAGCAGTGGGGTCTGGATACGGTATTGGATCTGGATTAGCAATTGGATCTGGATATGGTGCTGGATCTGGAATAGCTATTGGGTCAGCCGGCCCAGCAATAGCAACAGGTATTAGCGCTGGTCGAGTTATTGGCGCTGGTGGAGCTATTGGCCTTGGTGGAGCAATTGGTGGTGGCTCAGGTATAGCAATCTCTGCTGGACCCGCTATAGCCGCTGGAGGTGGAGGAGGTGTTCAAACATCAGTCTCTGTTGAACCAAACCCTGTTATTTTACGCCAAGAAGTACCAAGATTCGTAACCAGAACGATCGACCGCAACGTGCCAGTGCCTGTTCCAGTATCGGTGCCCGTACCAGTTGATAGACAAGTACCAGTTCCAGTACGAGTACCATACCCAGTAACGGTAGATCGACCAGTCCCCGTTGTTCACAGAGTGCCAGTGGAGGTTACGCGACAGGTCCCCGTGTATTACGAGAAAAGAGTGCCATATCCAATTAGAGTGCCAGTTTCGGTGCCTGTACCATACCAAGTAACAGTAGAGAAGCAAGTTGCTGTTAACCGTCCAGTGTATGTAGACCGTCAAGTGGCAGTACCGCAACCTGTTTACGTGGATCGTGCAGTCAGAGTGCCAGTGCCCGTGCAAGTGGACAGGCCCGTACCCGTACCGCAGCCTGTGGTCGTAAACAGGCCCGTACCCGTACCTCAGCCCATTGTTGTGGACAGGCCAGTTGCTGTAGGTGTATCTTCGGGTCTTGCCTCAGGTATTAGTTCTGGCATAGGTATTGGCTCAGGAGTAGGTTTGGGCTTGGGCTCAGGCGTGGGCTTGGGCTCAGGAGTGGGCCTGGCCTTGGGGTCAGGAGTGGGCTTGGGCTCAGGAGTGGGCTTGAGCTACGGCTCAGGAGCGGGCTTGAGCTACGGCTCAGGAATTGGCTCAGGCTATGCCGTCGGAATAGGTTCTGGAATCAGTTCGGGTCTCAGTTCAGGAATTCGTATTTCATCAGGGCTTGGATCAGGGTATTCTCTAGGATATGGTTACGGTAATGGTTACGGTTTGTCTGGTATTTCTTCAGGCATCGGTCACTCAATTGGCGTAACCAAATTGATCTCCAGCTACCCAAGCACTATTGTTCACCATAGCCACTAGGATATAATAAGTATGTTGGTATGAATTTTTTTGTACATGTCAAATTGCAATATTGTATATTATTATTCAGAATAAACGATTGAGCCAAATGTACTTGTTCAGTTTTAATTTATTTTCTTCATACATTCTTTTATTTGTTATATATTGTATAAGTAGTCCACTTACTATCAGGTGAACTTATGTTTGTCAATTAAGTTTTATAAAAAAAATAGCTTCTGCAGTCCATAGACTACTGCAGCCAACTTCAAGTAAAGTAAGCTACAGACACTACTCTATAGGCTAATCTAAGGACTAAGGTGGAATGCCTCACAGTCTGTAATTATCCTGGTTCTCTTTGCCCTTCAGACCCGAACACACAGCAGTGCACGCACTGCTATTCGGTGACAAATGTCATTGTAAATAGATACCCCGACGGGCTTCAATAAAACACTTACCACTTGGAAAAAAACTAGTTTTACGGATTATTTTATTTTTCGGGCACTTTACAGCAACGATGATCACGGGGGGACTGAGGTTTTTTACTTTTAATTAATAATTTTTCGTCCGATCTACGCAGAATGAGCTTACGGTATCTTAAAGTCTTGTAGTTCCATTACCACTTGGCAGTTTGCCTCTTGGTTACCAACCTTCAATATTTATTTCATAGTCAGTGCCACGATTAGTGATCGTGTAACTTTTGAACGGTTAGACCGAGTTTTGTTATGCTATGCTAGGATCCGATAGGTGGTGCTGTAGTCATGTTATCAACTATTTCTTACGAACCAAAATAACTCATAATCACAATATGCTGGTTAACTGTCAAGAAAGATAATTACAAAATATAGACCTATGGTGCTACGGTCGAGTTTTAATAAGTTTTACATTTACACTGCAAAAAAAGTCGAATAGAATTCAATGGGAATTTATGACAACATCTACCGGACAAAACAAAGTAAAAAAGGACAAAACAAAGTTAGCTGGGTCATCTAGTATTAAAAATAAAATAAACACGTTTATTCTCTGGTATATACGAATATACTGTCTACGGTTATCCTCTGGTATATACGAATATGACTGTCTCACTGGTCTAGTGGTTGTAGTAGTGCGACTGCTGATCATGAGGTCCTGGGTTAGAATCCCGGGTCGGGCCGAAAAAATCAATTATTGAGTTTTTCTGTCAAGAAATTCTCAGTAGCTGCCCGGAGTCAGGAAGTTGGCGGTGTCTCACCCCCGTGCCTCGAAAAGCACGAAAAGCCGTTGGTCCTGAGCCTGATCTCTCTCCGGTCGTGTCGGTTTACCGTCCCATCGGATTATGAGAGTGAGAGAATAGAGAGTGCACCTGCGCTTGCGCATACACTTGGGCACTATAATCCTGTCCTGCGCCCAAGGCTAGCATCCGTTGAGGCAGGCCGCCGTGACCGAAATTCGGTTTGGAGTACATTATTATTATTATTATATACGAATATTCTTTATCGTACCTGATCTCTCTGCAGTAGTTTCGGATTACAATCTCATCTGACTATGATTAAGTAGAGTAGGGTTGTTGGCTCCGAAGCGGCTGGGCTGTGATGTGGAGGGGACGGTGGCACCACGGCGGCGGCCTCGCCTTCTGTGGCAGCCGCCGGTGCGCACCAGGTACGGCGCTCACGCGCCCACTTCTCGTGCTATACGGCTTATCGGAGACATGCTCGCAGATTATAACGAGACCGATTTATTTGCTGATAGCTTAGGGCAACTGTGTAATAAAGCCCTTCTATTTTTGACATCCAATTTTGACAAAATGTAATATTATTAGTATTCTCTTAATCATATCTTATGTAATCAATCTGACAATGACATTTTGCTTAATTTATTTGACTTTTAATCTATTTGGCATGTATTTTTTTGGTATTTAGTTGATCTACTGGACATGTATTCTTTAATTTGTTTGACCTTTTGACATGTATCTTGTATTATTACTATTATTTAAAACTGTAATTTGTTAATTAGCATGCTGACGTTTTGGACAAACTGTAAGCCAGCATGTACACTGTTCTTAAAATATAAATATAAATATAAATAAATGAGAATGAGGGACTAGAGAGTTCACCTACGCTTGTGCATACACTGGAACACTATAATCCTGTCCTCTGCAGTTGGCTATTCTCCGTCAACCAAAATTTGGTGTGGAAGACATTGTAATTATATTATATAAATATATATTGAAGGCTAAATATTCAAGCATTTTCTACTGTCACGTTTTACGCCACTCACGGAACGATATAGGTTGGTTTTTCTTACGCTACCGCAACATGGCGACACGTAGTAATATTATACTCGTATTCTTCATATTCTAATTAATTCGGGTCGTAATAAAAGAGTAAATAATTTCTTTAAATTTTAGTAAACTTTGCACTTTTATATTATGAAAACCTTAGAACACACATCTTATACATAATTTAATTTTAATACAAAATATCACGGTAGCTAATACTGTTGACGGTTTCAGTAGAAGAAATTACAATTTATTTTATTAACAACTACAATTTCTTGCTTTAAAGTTATCTTAACAGCTTCTAAAGGTCTCACTGCTGGACGAGAGAGTCAGTGTTGTTAATATATGTATACCATGATAGTATAATAAGACTATCTTGTTGTCGTTCATAATCACAAAGAATTTGACTCTCTAACCAATCAGCGTTTTAGGTATCGATGATTTGTGACACAGTGCTAGAGATGTAAGGAGACACAGATAATACACTATATAATACACTTTATACCAGAGATAGATGTGCCACTCACATTTCAGTTCACGGAAGAGTGTATCGTGTACACTAAATGGCGCTGTATTCTTTTGTAAAACGAGACACGCGGTAGGTACCGCTAGATGGCGTAATTTATGCAATGAATATTCTGATTATTACGTTTATGTTATCTACTAGATAATTAGTGGATAAAACTCCTTTTATATTCTTATGGCTTCGTGTGCTTTTTAGGTCTGTAATAGACCTTCTTTCATTTCTGAAAGGATTTTAAGGCAAGGAGAAAATGGTCAATCCGGTACGGTCCTTACCATTTAGCTTGAAGTTTAGGAGACTTCCCTTTGCTGCGAACTGGATTGTGCAACCACACTAGTGAACCCCTGTCGAACTCTTTGTTGTTTATTTTGCGTTCATACCGTGTTTTCATCTTTTTAGACATTTGCTGACCCGATTGTCTGATGTGTTTTTTTGTTCCGCAAGTTATTACGTAATCGGTTATACTGCGTGGGGCACCAGGTGGTATTCCAGTGATAAATATTTATTGTTCATTTTGCGGTCATACCGGGTTTTCATCTTCTCAGACATTTGCTGGCCCGATTGTCTGACGTGCTCATAAATGTCATACATTTTATTCCGCAAGTCGCATAATCGGTTATACTGCGTGGGGCATCAGGTGGTATTCCGGTGATAAGTTCTACAGACAGCCGTAATTCTTTTCGCAAGTTTGCGAAAGCTGGTGTCACCGATGTACTTCCGTGAACAACGCTTCGATATGACAACAAAAACGGTTGTATGTGCTTGTCCCAATCTTTTTGCCGATTTTCAACAACTTTTGCTAGGTACCTCTCCAAAGTCCGATTAAATCGTTCTACCATTCCATCGGATTGCGGGTGTTAAAAATTTGTTCTTGTTTTATGAGTACCCATAACTCGGCAAGTTTCCTGGAATATTTGTGACTCAAAATTCCTTCCTTGATCGCTGTTAACCTCCAAAGGTACTACAAAACGACAGAAGACTTCATGAACTAGTTTATCTGCAACTGTTGAAGTTTTTTGATTTAGAATGGTGAAGACTTCAGGCCACTTATGAAATAATCCATCAAAACCATGAAATACTTGTTACCACTTTCATTTCCGGAAACGGCCCCGCCACGTCAATGGCTATTCTCTCCCATGGTGCACCAACATTGTAAAACTTCAATGCCCCTCTACTACGAGTTTGAAGCCCCTTTACAGCCGCACAACTTGTATATTTGCGACACCAGTCTTCGACATCGTCTCGACAGTGTACCCAGTAAAACCGTTGTCGGATCTTTACTAGAGTTCGTTTAACTCCCAGATGGTTGGTACCGTAATGGTTGTTCAGAAGGCTGAACAACCATTACGGTACAGCTGTGGAGCATCCGGTACTTTCGCTTTAGGGACGACAATTTGCAAATGATAGCTGTCTCCTCGAAAATTTTCCCATTTACGGCATAGAACTCCATCCTGAATCAGCAAGCTGTCCCATTGGGCCCAATAGCTTTTCTGGGCCAAATTCATCGCTGAGACGTCGCTTCACTTGGGCTTAGGAGTACTGGCCTTCATCCATTTTAGAATCGGCTTGATATCCGAATCTTCCTGCTGTGCATGTTGTAGGCTTTCCTTCCACTCGTTACTAAGGTGGTCTGTCTTGAGCATCCTCACAGATACCACTTCCTTACCCTCTTGCCTAGTACAATGCTTGCAATCTTCAGGACAAGATCTTTTTGACAATGCATCTGCATTGCCATGAGATTTCCCGCTACGATGTTCGATCACCAAGTCGTATTCCAGCAGTAGTTGTTTATCCATCTCGCAACTTGTCCTTCCGGATTTTTGAACTGCTATAGCCATTTTAGTGCAGCACGATCAGTTCGTAAGTGAAATTTCCGCTCCAGAAGGTATTTGCTAAAATGCTGCAACGATTTTACCACAGCACGCAATTCCCGTGTGGTGACGCAATAGTTCATTTCTGGCTTTGATTACAACTTGCTGAAGAACGCTATCACAACCTCTTGATCACCATTCCGTTGAGACAACACACCGCCAAGACCTATATCACTTGCGTCTGTATTAACTATAAATTCCTTGACCGCATCAGGGTACCCCAAAATTGGTGTTAAGCTCCTGGAATGCGATATCGAAACTTTCATCCCAGCAGAAATGCCGCTTCCCCTCGGTTAGCTTGTGCAGAGGTTTGGCTATATCTGCAAAGTTCTTCAAAAATTGCCGATAATAGGAACACAAATCCAAAAATGCT